GATGAAGAAAGAAAACGCGAACAGAACAAAGAGAACAGAAAAAGAAGAAGAGCGGAGTCAGACATTTTCCTCATGATAGCCTATGCCATGGTTTTCTGTTCACTCTATCATTGCATCCTCTATTACCGTAGGTATAATGAAGGAAGCAGTTTGGCTCCTGTTACGTTCGTTGGATGTAAAAAACTCAGAACACGCGTTTTTCTGAAGCAGATAAAAGTTATTTGTTTTCACCTGACAGAAGCCGAGAACGACTCGCAGAACGAACAGGAAGTAGTAGGAAACTTCGGCTCCTACAGGCGACAGAAACGTGGACAGCACGCAGACGGCGAAATTGATGACGATCACCAGATGAGAGCCATACCTGGTGGCTATCCATCCGCCCGCGATCTGCGTACAGATGTATCCCCAGAAGAAGGCGCTCAATAGATTGCCTTGCAACTGCGATGACCAGTGAAAGGTTGGAGCCTGAAAATCACTGCTCAAAGGGTGAACGGTCATTTTGGTCAGACTGTTGGCTAACCGTGCTAGAAATGGCAGAATCGGAAGAGTTGAGGGTGTCGTTTGGCACCATGCACACGATGGCCAGGCTCAAATTGGTGCGCATCATGTAATTCACCGTCGTACCTACCAGCATCAGCAATGCCAGGTTGAATCGTGTGGAACAGAAGAATCTGTAGTCTGAAATATGACGTTATAAAATCATGCAATTTTGTTGTTTTCATAAAAATTCTCTTACTTGTTATATGACCCCCGTCTGAAGGAGCCCCTTTGAAGCCGACTTCTTTGGAGTTCTTCGTATCTGTGCAAATTCAAAACTTATTGGGCATACATTGACTGTGGCAATGTGTCATCTTATCCTTATGCCGTTGGTTATTCGAAACTTACCCTTATAGTAACGACTGATCATTTCAGGTTCTCTAAGTTACAGCCAATGTAATGGCCATGCCATTAATAGAAACGCGGTCCTGCGTGCGATACACTGCATGTGCTTACATTACAAGAAACACAGGCCTGCTTAGATGGTCCCCCTGGGCATTTGGAAGCAAGGGGGGTGCAAAAGTTCTGCTTGCGTAGCGTGAGAAACACATTTTTATTTTTTTCACTGTGCACTTTCGCCTTTTCATTCCGGTATCATTATTTTTAATGTGAAAAGTTAAAAAATTGTCCAACACTGATGGTAATGGTAACGCTGCATATGAACTCTGCAATAAGTTAATATCCAATTTAGCAATTCTTGAGATAAGCAACTTTCTAAGGTGGGAATGCATATTTCCATGCAACTGCTGACAGTATTACAAAAGGGAAATAGGAAACATCG